ATACTCCAGTTCTGTATGCATAAATAAATAAATCTATATATAAATCTATAGATATATGTGTGTGTGTATCTATTATATAGAACTAGGAAGTATAGGTATAGGGGGGTGAGAGGAATGTGGGGAGGAATGTGGAGTGGAAAGCAGAACAGACAGACTGAGTGAAACACACTGCTGAGGGGAGCAGAGGGTGAGACAGGAGAGGTCTGCTGTGCCATGTGGGTCAGCTCCCTAGCTGGGGATTGAATTCAGGCTTTATCTGTGATAACACTGTTATTCTGTGATAGCAATGATATGTAATCCCTAGGCCACAAAGGAGACCCAGCATGCATTTTTTTTTCTTTTGCTACCAATTTGAGTGTTCATGATAGCAAAATATATTACCGATATAACTCTGAGGAATAAACAGAATGAGGAGCAACTCAAGACTGCATGTTATGCTGTCAAGTATATTCTGTTAGAAAAGAAAAAAAAAATTGAAGTGGTGACTCCTGACTTGTTAGTGTTCCCAGTACATTTCCATGTGGAACTACTCAGGCTTTTCTTCATGGAGCTTCCAGAATGAACTATAATTAGAACCTGCTCTGACATGGTTCTTAAGTCTGAATATAGCTGCTGCCTTCGGCCATGCAAAGCACAACTACAGATCTGTCCAAAGAAAGCCATGTAATGCAATGCCTTATTCCTTACTTCAATAAATAATTAGATGCAGGCATAATTCAAATGCAAGATATTTTTAGGTTAATTAAATCAATTCAGTTAATAGCAGACTCATTTTTCCTAGAATATTATTAAACTAATGAAGGACGATCTGAATATAATACAAAATAGGAAAAGTGGGAAATCTCCCTCTTTGTCTGCCCTGTAATTTTGAGAATGCAATTTTATATTTAACTTGCATATGCCCTAAAAGAGATCAGTTTTTGTTTCCTTTTTACTGTTCTAACTGCTAGGAAATGGAAGAAACTGTGGTTAATTTTGATTTTTCTTTACAGCCATTCATCATTACAGATAATAACTTCCCATCACATTAGTTTATTGTTTAAACTAATAAATACTTTTCCTATTCCGAGTAATTATTGGGCACTGCATTTTTGTGATCCACACGTTCTACCTTGACCTATGAATGGATACTGGTGTTGGAAGTGTTACTTGTATATTTTATAGAAACAGGGCCTCAAAGGAATGTAGAAACTAACTCTGTGTAGGCTAGATGTGTGAATAAAGTGGTTATCTACATACTGTGAGAAAAGGACATGCCCATGCACTTGTGCTTTGAGATATGGAGGAAGAGGAAGATGTTCAGAATGGAGGAAGTACAGAACCTGCATCTCAAAACTTAAAATTCTGAAAGCAATGCTAGCTGATTACAAAACTGTACTGCCAGTTATGCCACTTTAATCATAAGGTTTCAGTCAAATATTGTGGCATACTATGTTAATTGCTTCCCATGTTTCATAACTTTGTATTTAAAGATCTAAGTTGCAGTGAAAGTTGCAAAAAATATCAGTTAAAAAAAACCCACCTTATTTGCTCACTGTATTCTATACATTAATGAAAAAAAAATGAAGTAACATATGGAGAAAAAAAAACACACAAAATAAATAGTCCCAACATTCCTATAATCTAACATTCACTGTTGATTATATAATAAATAAATTGCAGTGAGAGAGGAAGGTCAATAATGGTTAGACTTTAACTCACTTTCCACACCTCTACTTATAAACATGTTGGATAAAAACAGATGTCGTTTTAGTACGTTACTGAGAAAATACAAAAAGATGGTCTTTTGTGGACTGTTCTGTTTATACTTTGAGGGAGAAATGAACTTGAACCTTCTAAGTTGTGCCTTACTATGTGCCTTTATCCAAGCAGTTTAAAGTATTCAACTTATGTGGATGATTCCTGGGTGTCACAAAGCTTTATCTTGAGATTTAGAATTTTGCCAATCATTGATTAGATACAGAGACTTAAGCTATAAAGTAATTATAAAGTCACAGAAACTGCCTGTGTAAAGAAGGTGGGCTGACGGGAGAAAACTGATGTCTTCTATGACTGTTTATAGTATCACACTATCTAACACTACAGGAACACAGCACTATTTAACTCTAGAAAGACAATGAAACCCTGGCTTTATTTATGCTGAGTTTAAAAAGTGGCATTAAGAATTCTGTTATTCAATCAGTCAATTATTTAACTGGCCCACATTTATTAACACATAATACAGATCATACAGTTAATAAATTTTAGATTATGGTTTTCTTGATTATTGATCTTATGTTTTATAATTTTCTTTTCTTCATTATCTTCAGCTCCCACACACACAGAACAAAAGTCATGCTGACTAAATTTTTAACGACATCGCCTTTTTTTTATTTATTGGTACTTTTAAAAACAAAGCCTAACTCATTTCTCATCCTGCCTAAGATGCATTATCATCTTTTAATAGGAAGTTAGCTTAAAGAACAGTATTCCAAATTAATATGCTAAAGCCCAAGAAAGGCAGTAAAGAAACATCAAGAAGACAACACCACCTATAGAGCTAAAAATAAAGTTTGCAGAGTAAAAGTCAACTTTTTTTTTTTTAAGTATAGTACTCTTTGTTAAATTAGACAATAAAGAAGTCTTCATCAAGATGACTCCCTCCACTCTTGCCACTTTATGGGCCAATTATCTTTAGACAAGTATGTGACCAGGACAAAACTGGTTAGTCCAAGTCATGATAGCTGAGAAGTAAACTTGACCCATGGTGGCTAGATGACCGAATATGGCAAATAAGACTAAAGAGAGAGAGCTTCAACCACAGTTAGGAAGGACATCTTTTCACTCTACAAAATAACAAAGAACTGTTTCTGGAATATGTCAACTCTGTGTGGAATCAACTTAAGGTTAAAGCTAAACCACCCTGTGACAGAAGCATCTGTATCTTTCCTTCTGATTTTCTTTTAAGTGGGGCTTCCCTCAGGGAGCAGAGAACTTTTGGGTGCAAGAGGCAAAACAGGCATCTGATGCGCACGGGGAAGGTCTAAAGTGGTTGGTTATGAAGTAGGCGTTCAGTGGACCAAATAGAGGTCTGGAATAGGAGAGTGTGCAAAGTTCTGTTGGTTATACTGAATTTATAAACTTCTGATATATACTCATTGTGATGGTCCTCCAGCTGTCGGGGTTGCTACCCATTTTCATGGGTATTAACATGGGGTTAAGTGCCGCTGTGTTCCTCGTAATCCAGAACATTTGGTTTGTCATTATTTACTACAGTGTGTAGTAAATAAAAATGGGAGGTGCCATGTGCTCTGCCCCCACCAAATGAAAAGCAGAGTTTGGGGCTAACATACTGACATATTTCCATAGACCAAAATATCTCATTACACACACAGCTAAACATATAATCATAACTGCATATTATGGAAAATAACTTTCTGGTGTTAACTATAGCATTTAATATTGCAGAACTAGTGAAAAACACCTTCAGAAAAAGAGCCATCATTCAGTATAAGACTCCTTTTAAAAAAGCTTTCGATTAAAACTAATGGCTTATTATTAATGCATAGATGCATTAGCTATGAATAAAGTAATCTAACCCCATTTCTGACAGCGAATCAAAATATTTGAAACTGACATGTCCCTGTTGCCATAGGTCAATTGCAAAAAAAAACAAAGGTATTTTCAGCTTTTCCATTATTCTATGGGTTCTGATGTACAACCTTTAAATCATGTAAACCCAGATAAAAACATATGGCATACTTACCAGGTGATTTTTATGCCACTTTGCTGAATGCAGGATTAATATATTTGGGCTTTTTATTGCTTGAGTAGAAAGTGCTCATTACTTATTATTTTATGTTTATAATATAGAAATTAAAAAAGAAGTTTTTAAAAATGGCATACATCACACTGTTGTAGTGGTAGATTTCCTCAAGATCGTCTTCTGTGGTTTGGGTGCAGTAGGAGGAGGCACAGTTGCAGGTCTGAGAGGCGGGAAGCTGTTACTGTGGCTTATTCCCAGTCCCCCATTTTCTAGCGGAAAAGGAGGGAGATGGGGGGGAGGCGGGAGGGGCGGGCCTCGGTGAGGAAGCTTTCCAGGAGGGGGAGGGGGGCCGGGCTCGCAGTGCAGGTGCTCCTCCCTGCCTTTCGCGTGATAGCGGCTGTCACAGTCGGGGCAGTAGCCATGGTACTGCACCTTCTCATTAAACCGGACTCGTTCCCTGGGCCCCGCCTGGGGACACCTGTCTTTCTCTGGTCTGTGCATCACAGGCTGCGCAGGAGCCTTGCCCAAGGTACTACTGGGTAGGCAGCAGATGTCTCCATTGGGGATTTTGCTGGGTGCTCCAGGTAAGGCTCCGTTCCGCACAAGGGTGCCATTGGTCTTCACGGGATGGACCGGTGGCACAACCCTTTGGGGTTCTTCACACTTCACAGGTGTCAACCGTGGGGGCGGTGGAGGAGGATTTGGCTTTCTCAGGACGGTGAGGATAGCGGAAGGGTGTGCGGGGGGTTTGATGAGAGGGGTGTTGGCCTGCTCTTTGATCTTCTCTATGCTGGATGCTGTGGTGCCACTGGAGCTACTGTTCAGGGTGTCAGTCTTGGAGCTGTCAGTCATCTCATCCTCCAGCTGTAGGTCAGAGGTCAGGGTATCAATCTGGTCAACCACCTGGTGAAAAGGACAAGGTCACTGTGTTGAAGAATGAACCAAAACAAACTAGCGGTGAAACAAAGTCTCCCTGTCTAGCTGTCCTCTGCGACGGCAGCCTTGCCTGATTCAGAGCCTCGCGTTCCACTGACGCTCAATGTTTTCATTCAAAAAGTTTATAGAGTAGTTACCATAACACAGTGTCAACTGTTTGATAATACAATCATTTCACATGCCTTGAATATATCATACTATTTATGTACACATTCTATTTCTGACTCTGCTACACTCACCAAAGATAAAAATACTGATTTTTAAAAACCAGGCTGGGGTGTGCCTTCCTTCTGCTTGGCATGTAGAAAGCTATAGGAAAATAAAATCTCAGGGTAAAAATGTGTAGTCAGATCATCTGCCAAACTATAACCATTCTTAAGACCATCAGAGAACTGAAATTATGAGTGAATCAAATGAGTTGAACTGCAAAGAGCTTCACACCCTCCAGGATTGAGAGGACACATCGATTATAGATGATCTGACCTTTGGTAGTGAATCACAGGGAAAAGACGCAGCATCCACCGAAAGCAGTAAGAGCTGAAACTTTAATGAGTAGTTAAGGGTTGGGGTGGGGTGTGTGTTACCAAGACAGTTAAGAATCCCTCACAGCACAGACAGCATAGTCTAAGCTCACTAAACCTCCTTTCAGTAAGCCTCTCAGTGAGGCACCAAGGGCAGGACAGAGACTAGACAGATTCCTTCAGGGCACAGAGACAAAAAATCCTATCCATTTACCAGGCTCTCCTGCCCTACAACAGAGAAGCCTTAAGCCTGAGGAGAACGGCACAAAAGTCTCGAACATTTAAGGCATAGTGATCTGTTGCTTCTAGGAAAGGATAGAAAATACAATTATCTGACTATGCGGAAGAGAGTGGAAAAACTCTTGAGCCCAGAGATATACATTATAGATGGCACCTAACACTTTGGAAAAGGAGCCCAATTCACCGTCACTCAAGGATGGCCACAGACCAAGGCAGAGACATGGAATTTACTAAGGCTGACAGATTCATCAAGCCATGATGTAGGTCCCACACCAAGTGAAGCAGAGTGGCTGTAAAGATAGGAAAATTAGGTGAAAATATCTTTTTTTAAGATTTATTTTTATTTATACATACATAAATAAGCTGGGGTATAGTCAGAGTTGGGGGGGTGAGAGTATTCACCAGAGACAGACTGGGGAGCAGAGCAGGGAGATCAATTGAAATACACTACTGAAGGGAACAGCGAGAGAGACAGGAGAGGTCTGCTGCACCATGTGAGTCAGCTCCTTGGCCACTGGTCTAACTTATCCCCCTGTGGCTGGTGATAGCTTGACCCCTGCACCACCAGGGAGGCCCTGGTGGAAGCATATTAAGCAATGCACTTTATAAGAAAATTTGCCAAGGCCACTAGGGAGTCATGCAGTAAAAGGTGCCCATCATAGGAATCTGGCGCCTTCCCACACAGCTTTTCCTCTGTCCTGTTTAGTCATTGTCTGAGGTGGTTGTGGACAGCATGATCTGTGTTCAAATGCAAGATCTCAGCTCTCAGCAGGAGTGCTCCGCCATCAGCAGCCCCTGCAGTCAGAGGTTTGGCCATCTCATGACTGCCATATGTGTACTGTTAGATACCTACAAAGATGGAAAAGTCATGGACACTTTATAAATAACTTAATTGATTCTGTATGGAGGGTGTCCTTTCATTTTACATATTTTCTTGAATAGAATTTTCCCTCTTCTTTTACTCATGCATAAATAAGTGTGTTCAACTATGAAGTTGGCATTTAGACATATGGTGGCCGGATTGGGCACAGAATAAAACTATCATAATCATCCACAGTCGGAGAGGATATAGAGATTCTACTTCTTCCTTATGAGGATCTTAACTGGCTGGTTTATGCTAAAGCCGTATGTATCTTAAATCCATTAATTTTCCATTTTCATTTCTTTGGTACTCATATGAACCACTTTTACTTATCATATGGATATCCCAGAATCACCTTGCTTCTCCCTCTCATCTCTGTAGTCTCCATGATCTTTTACAAATACAAATGTGCTTTCAACAACAAAAAACAAACAACACAATCAATAAATGTGCAGCAGATGGAAATATGTTGTCACTCCCAATGAGAAGATGCAGGATGAAACCACAAGGAGCTGTTATCTCGCACCCATGAGACCTGAGTATGTTGAAAAGACCCCCAACAACAAGGGCTGGAAAGAATGTGAAGAAAACAAAACTCTGTTGCATTGTTCCCAGGAATGTAATTGATACAGTCATTATGGAAAGTAATCTGGATTTACCTTAAAACACTGAAAATGAAAATACCAAATCACCCAAGGAAACTTTCCCTTGGGCATCTATCCAAAAAATTTGAAACCAGAAATATGAAAAGTTACATGCTGTACAATGATTAATGCAGTTCTATTTATAAAAGTCATAACATGGAAACAACATATGTGATCGCTGGCAGAGGACAGTCTCAAATATATATATGTTCATACCATGCCATGTTATTCAGCGATTAGATATGCTGCCATTTATGGCAAAAAAGAAAGAATTTGAGGGAACTGTATAGTAAAGCAAGTCATAATAGCAGACAAATAATAGACATTAGCTTATACAGCAAATAATTTAACAGAGTAAACTACTTGTAAAAACTAGTAAATGAGGTAAGATTCTAAGGTGAAGATGAAAAGGGAAAGAACAACAAAAAAATAGAAACATATCCTTGTTGATTTCTTGCTTAAAACCTTTTAATATCTGTTCATTTCTCCTGTGATAAAAATCAGCTCTTAACAGTCTCCAAAGCCTCAGCGGTATGTTGGTAAATGTTTTATCAATTAGCTCACAGGCGTGCAAGGGAGTCAGCACATGTGAAGTGTGTAACATACATGGTATAAATTCCAACATCATTGATTTTAAGTTACTAAATGCAACAGTATTTAGTATGAGAAGAAATGTGTAGGAGTATATCATTAAACAATGTTTCCAGCATATAAACAGACTATACAAACTGAAGAGCTCAAACAATAGCAAAAAATGGTAAATTAATTAAGAATGACTAGGAATCTTAATGAAGAAATCTTCATTTTTAATATAATTTGGTAGGCTGAAAATTTATATATTTTCCTTCCCTCCTCCTAATAATGGTTAAGAATGGCTCACAACTATGTGAAAATAAAACAACTGATTCTAGCACTATTTCATACTCCTAAATACCTTTCCATCCTCAACTCTAATAAAGCTTTCTGTTTTCAAATCTGTCAGGTCTTCTTTAAGACCATCATAATTTTCAGTCTATCTTCTGCCACAGGACATTTGCACACTCTTAATTTTTCTTCTTGAAATGTTCTAACCCCTTCCTTTCCCTTAATTAACTTGTATTCATCTTAATAGCTCAGGAGTCTCTCAATGAAGTAAACCTTCCCCATACTTTTGCAATTCCCCCTACAGTTAAGTTTGTTGAGCAATCGCAAGGAACCTTTTCTTCCCCGTTCATAGCATTCACATAATTGCATGTTCAGTGGAACTGTGATCACTCCAATAATGTTCCATTCTAGATTGTAATCTCAGGGGCTTTGTTTTGAGTACTGCAGCCAGGTAATCTCATGACTGAGAACAAATAGGGCCTCAGCAAATACTTGTCAAATAAATGCAAGGGGCGGGGGGGGGGGAGAGGATATTTCCTTGGGTTCAGGTGTGAGCAACACCATTTTGTTTCCAATTTGATTTTTTGAGGCATTACTTTTTAAATTGATGTTTGTTCATTTATTCTGGAATAAAATGGTGATGGTGGTGGGGAAATTTATCCATAAATCATCCACGGAACTAGGGGCACAATCGCCAGCTCTAGACCGACATTGTAGCAATTCACATAAGAGGGTACAAAGGATGTAACACATATAGGAACCCTCTTGGCTCTGGAGTACTATGTGCTCTTAAACCAGGAGAGGTTTTCTACCCTAAGCCTTTTATCAAATTAAATATCTGCAGCAAAAGAGAACAAGATGGGGTATACTGTGAGGGAAGTGACTAACACTCAGAGATGAGTAAGTAGTGCCTGTGTTCCTCGATGGTTTGTTTTCTGCCTGGTTTAACTGTATTGCTGTTCCCGAGTGCCTACAAAATGACAACAGAACAAAAAGGAAAACGAACTAAGTAATGCCCTCATGGATCAAGGAATCTAGTAGAAGGACATAAATTAGATACTCAAACAGAAAACTGTAACCACTTAACAGCTCCAGGAGCTCTGGAAGAGAAATACAAGCCTGGATAAGAGGAGGATAAGTGGGCCTGACCAAAAAAGTCAGCGCTGAGGTGCACTTAAGTGGTAAAAGAGGAGTAACTGTGGAAGTCCACTCAGGAAAGAGCCTGTAACAGTCCTTTGGTAGAAGAGAGCATCTGATCCTCTTGCCTGAAGCAGATAAAGGGAGAGACTTAGGTAGCTGTGAGGCTGTAAGAGCCGGAGTTATGCTGATCAAGCATCACTTATTTTTAAAAAGGATTCTGGAAATGTGAGAAGCAATATTCAAAGAGATGAGGAATTCAAATTTTTCAGAACTCAAGTGACATCTAGTTAAAGAAACCACAATTTCAAACAGGAAAATAGAAACAAACTCATACACAGACATACCATAGTACAAATATAGGACACTGACAAGCAATAATCAACATTTTCCAACAATGAAAAAGGACTATCAATATATGCGAAGTCATTAAAATAAAAATGACAGTTTCATACAAGCAATACTCATTTGAAAATAAATGTAGTGATATGTCAGATTGAAAGAAATTGGAAATATAATGTAGTTTAATTCTTCTCTAAGGTGAGAGTGAAATAAACATGATAGGTACATAAGTCTACCTAAGTCTTCCCTCATCTGCAGTCCCTTCAGCCAAGAGGATCAGATGCTCTCTTCTACCAAAGGACTTTTACAGGCTCTTTCCTGAGTGGAATTCCACAGTTACTCCTCTTTTACTGCTTA